TTCTAACTGAATTTAGGTTAAAATGCCATTCATATTGGATAACGTATAGATATATACAGTTATCTGATAATAAGAAAATTACATTTCATTTTTAATAAGGATTACAATCCCCATATATGCATTTTTACAGCTGAACACAGTCCAAGAATATAACTAAATAATTTCTAGCAGACTCTTCTATAAAGAATCCTAGTTGTAATTTTAGAAATTGCAGAGTGCTTTGCTATTAAATCCCAGCTCACATTAAAGCAACATCTTGCTCGATATAATTAGATTGAGGTGAATGGGACTTACCAGTTGTCCAGGAGGTAGTCAAGAGAAATGGCCAGAGGAGCCCTTAATCCTGTGAGTTTTATATAGTTTCTCCAACTTCCAGGAAGATGAGACAACCTTTGTGCATGAGGTCCTAATTACTTCCCAAGCAATTTTTCCCGCATGTGTAACACTTATAATTACTATAATTATTTTAAGATTGTTTACCAACATTATTCAATTCTTGACAGTACATACTGTTACATGCTGTGGGGTTCCCTTGTATTATATCTTTATGGTCTAAATTCGTTGCTGATGTGATTCTACCACTTCCGTCTACCACTGTGTTAGTGTGGGAATACATCTCGCTCCAGTTTGTCCAGCTTCGACTTAAGCAGTAACCATGCAAGCCGTGGTTTGCAGATGGTAACTGATGTATTGCAAATATGCAATATGATATGAAGATATGCCCAGATGCTTCTAGGTATGGGATTTGTAATTCAGTCCCCCTAAATCCATCCTAGCATTTAGATGGAGGTACCGTGGTGTTCACCCTGTAAGTGCCTCAGTGGAGTGGAGAACAGAATTTTGCACACTACACATCCCCCCTTTTTGTCAGCAATGGAAAAAATCTGGTTATTTGGTTCCTGTCATTTGTCAAAGAGTTGTCACAGCTTTGTAGACAGAGGATGACATTCTGCTTGGGGATCCCCTCTCCTGCTTTAGGTACTGACCAGTTGGTTAGCATCTGGCACTAGTCACCAAGTGAGATCAGAATGTTAAAAAGCATAATCTCCTAATTATGTCCACTTACAAAAGAGATGACTGAGGGGAGATAAGGTAAGAATTTCTGCAGATAAAAGGTAGATACCAAAGTGAAAGCATTTAGCTGTGGTTTACACATGCTGAGGACGAGAATAATAGTCATGAGCTAAAAGTGCATCAAAGGAGACTTAAACACGGGGAAATAATTTTATCATGTGGTTACTGACATGCAGGAATGGGTAAGAGAGGTTGTGGAATCTCTATCATTGGAGACTTTTAGCAGTGGATGAGACAAACATTTGTCAGGAATGGTTCAGATGAACAGCCAGGACTTAGGGCAGGGAGATGCAATAGTTGGCATCCATGGATTTTGGCCATCAATTTACACAAAGGTTCTCAACCTTTGCAGATAAACTTGGTGTCTACACGAAGGACCATCTCATGCCTTGCTCATTTAAGATGTCTTGAAAGAGGTTGCTTAAAATGGCCTCAGGCTGGGTTCCAAAAATCACTGAAAGTCACTTCTAAAAACTTTGATCTACCTATTTGGCATATGAATTGTCAGGTTTCTCTCCATTTTTCTTCCTCTGCTGGGGCTGAATCCTTTGGAGAGCAGGAGACAACACAGAGATGCTCACTCTGGCAGATCAGTGCATCGACAGGCATCGCTATGTCCATAAAGATTTAAGAGATGACTGAAAGTCAAGAGAGATTCGTTCTGGAGGCTTAATGTGTTCAGAAATTTACCTAAAGAGGGAACATCTGTCTGTAATGGGGTCAAGGAAAACCTCTACATCAACAGGCTGAAATACGTAATAGGCCCTCAGAAACTTTCTGGAATAGGAGAGCCATGTTCCTGTTTGGTATTTCTGAATTTTGTGGGGCCTCACTTATTTCCCAGGAATTCAGTTGGATTCTCAGATTTAAGAGTCATGTGCTCAACTTGTACAGGCTTAGCAGAAGCTGCCTTCCTAACCTATGATGAAATTATTGCTTTTGAATGCAAACAGAAATGCAACATTTAATGAAAATGCAAAATGCTATGAGTTATCAAGGCTTGAAACAACATCCTGTTTGTGAGAACAACTTAGGCACTTCAATCAAAAAATGCATATTCGAAAGGTGCTATTACTCAGCCCTGAGGTGTTTCTCAGCTAACATACTATTAATATTATAATGATAAAACTCTTTGCATGTATAAACTGATAATGAATATTTTTGAAATGTTCTGACATTCCTTGCTGTGTGGAAACTTCACATCACCAATCTTAATTGTCAGGATTATCTTCCCCATTCTTTCATAAGAGACAATGAAAAGTACACACAAAGTTATCTGAAAAACCAGACCCAGAATTTGTAGTTCGTGATGGAGAATTGCCCTGCTAAGCTCTGTTATTAGAGACTGATGATGTTTTATGTTAAAAAAAAATGTGCTTCACATTCTTTGCCAATTTCAGCTTCTTATGGATTTCTTGGTGACATCTGAATCAATTTCTAATCATACCCTTCTTTAAAAAGGAGAAAGTATCCAGAAAAATGGAAATTCTTGTTTCTAGGCTACTTTACCTGCAGAGCACCCACTTGCCCAAACTGGAAACTCATTTACACCTCCCAGTCTTCCTTGTAGGGAGAAAGGAGAACAGGGTTGCTGTGTAATTTCTAGAAGTTATAATGCTGCCTGCACAAAAACACCTTGGGGATGGGGTTAGCAACACAGCTTTAAATGTCTCACACCTCTTACTAATGCGGCACTGTGGAGCTTGCCCCGATGGGATGTCCCTGATGGGATGTAGAACTGTTGCATGGGGAAAACTGTGCCAAGAAAACATGAAGACAGACAAAGGTCCTTTGTAGCCCACCCTGTTGCAATGCACATCAGAGAAGAGCCTGTCCTCACTCTAAACACTCATTCAGTGGGTAGAAGCAGTAATAAGCTGTTCCTTCATTGCTTTCTTCTCCAGGGCAAATCTGCCCAGCTCTCCCAGCCTTTTCTCTTGCAACTAGTGTCCCAGCAGCCCAGGCAGCTGCCTCCAGGCTTGCTCGCAGCTGTCCATGGCTGAGCACCAATACCAGACACGGAGGTCTGGATGCTGCCTCTTGAGTGCCAGCTGCAGGGGAATAATCACTTTCCTCCTGCTGCTGCCTGTGCTCTGGCTCGCACAGCCTGTGGTTAGCTTTCACCACCACAAGGATGCAGCACTGCCTCACGTCATCTTTGGGATTACAAGATCCATGTCACCTTTGGGGCTGCCTGCTCATTACTTTGCAGAGCTCCTGACCTCTCTGTAAGCAGATCCAGCCCACTAATGGTGATGGAGCATGGATCTGCTGCCAGGGCGGCTTGGGGAAAAGATGGGACGGTGCTGCCTTACCAGCTTGGGGCACAGCAGTGGTAGTCTGAATGTGAGCAAAGTGGGCAAAGGCGTGTGAGGGTCTTTGGACTCTTCAGATGGTAGCTCTGAGACAAACTTGCATTACTGACCATGGCCAACAAAACATAAAAATAAAACATCTTTGTGAAGAGAGCTGGTAAAAGCCTTGCATCATTCAGTGGCTATCTGGCGATCTCAGCTGTTTATTTATCATATCAGCCCCACCCTTTGTCAAGAGCAAAACTACAGAAACAGAACCTCGGATTCTTAGAATGGAATTGATTGCTGCTCAATGCCATCTTTCTCATGCTAACTGAAGGGGAAGCTAGATCCTTTGGGAACAAGAGCAGCTGACACCAGCAGAGCCCTTTTAACCATGCAAGTGGCATAAATGCAGGTGGGAGAGCTGCCCCACGGCCTGGGCTGTGCCACCCTCATGTGCAGTTGTGAAGCTCCATCTCCCTCTAACAGCTGCAGACCTCGAGGCCCCTGCATCATGCCAGGGTGGAAAGGAGCCAGGTTTTACACAGAACTGCGATAAGAAAGAGGCTGATCCCAGGTGAGGTTATCAGGAGGGAGCTATTTGCTCAGCCTCCTCTTTTCATTTAATTCCCCAGGGTTAAAGGTAAAATGAATTCTCTCTCCCCACAGGACTCCTCCTAGTCCTGGAGGACTAGGTAGCATCAGTCTCTATTTTTACAGCCAAATCTATCACTTTATTAGAAAAAAGGGTCTAAGAAAATCCTGCTCTGTTTGGGGTGCTGCAGAGGAAGCTGGGGAGCTAGGAGGGAGTTTTCCTGCTGGGAATTGCCCAGGGAGCCAGCTCAGCAGTGCAAGGCAACAAAGCAACGCCAGGAGGAGCCACCAGGTCTCGCACTGCACCTTTGTGTGCTGACAGAAAGCTGCCACTGCCCGGCGCTGCACCTCCTGTGAGGGACACGTGGTGTAGGGCAGTTGTGCAGAGAAATGTGCTCTGGGAGTTTATTTATATATATTAGGAAATGAAAATATTGACCAAACAAGATAAATATTTGCTGTTCTCTAGGAAAACGTTCTCATCTGGGAACAACTGGCGCTGGAAGTTGCTTTCCCTCTGCTTGCACTTTTATAACCACAGACTATTGATGCTGGTCATCCTTGATGTGAGCTGGGACAGCTCGGGATCCCACCATCACAAAGGGACTTTATGCACTGTCCTCCCTTCTCCTGCTATCCCAGGGGCTATCCCACATAACCCATTTCATAATCTGCCCAGCAGTGTTTTGTCTAGGGATGAACTTGCCTGTCAGAGCAGAAGACAACTGCTAATGAGTCTCACTGCATTAATCAAGCCTTCTTCTAAATACCAGCCCATGCTGCTCTTTTTATGTGTCTCTGGCTAAGCTTTTGACACCAAGATCTGTTCCCACAGCTGGTAAATCTTTCAAGTCCTAAAAGTGAGATTACTGGCATTATTTTACACAAAGGAGTGGCACAACAGCAGGGAATAATTTGACTGCTAGTATTAGAAATAATTTTTAAAAGATGGAAAATGAATCAGACACCAGACAGCAGGAATCCAGCTGCAACCTGAGATTTAATACAACGGGCACAACCGGTGAGTATAATTGATCCAGTAACAGTAAAAACCTCTTGGGGGTGCAAACATTACCACAGAGATGTATCAGCTTAAAGTTCAAAGCCTGAGCACCTGCTCAGATTTACTTAACTTCTCACTAACATCTTTTCTGTTGCAGGAGTAACTAAAGTGTGTAACTAGAGTTATTTAATAACTAAAGAATAACCATGAAAGGAAGGCAATGCACCCTACAAGTTTAGCATTGATTAAAATAAGGGGAACATGCGGGCAAAGCATCTCCAGGAGTTAGGAACGGGGGAAAATAAACCTCAGGCCCCAGCTATATATCTTGCAGTTTTCATGGATACATTTTCAGCTCCTTCACCAGAGCCACTTTGAAGCACAGCGGCTCTTCTTGGTGTGGCTCGAACGCTTAACCCCCCCTGAGTGGTGCCGTGGCGAGTGCTGGTTGGCACACGAGTGGAGGCACTTGGACTTGCTGATGTGCTGCATGGACGAGCTCTTGTGCTTGACCCCCTCCTGCAGCAGTGAGCACTTGGTCACACGTTGCTGCGACGAGCTCTCCTTTATTCCGGTGCCGGGGGGACACTTAGGCACCTGTGGCTGCTGCAAGCTCTTGGTTCCATTCTGCTGCGAGGTGTAGGTGGTGATGCACTCCTGCGTCGGGTACCCCTTCATGCACTTCTGGTGAGGGAATGTGCTCACATACTCCTGCTGGAAGCACTGGGTCACGTACTGCTGTGGGGGACACTCGGTGACCCCCCGCAGTGGTGGGGAATAGCCACCGGTCATCCCCTGCAGGGACCGGAGCTCCGTGCCATACCGCTGAGATGAGCATCTGGATATCTTCTGCGATGCACGCTCATCCTTGCAGGAGGACGAGTATTTGATCCCACATGGTGGGAACCTCAGCTTGCCTGGCTCTGGGCACCTGGGTGCACAGGGTGGGAGGCTCTTGGCCACCCGCTTCTTCTCATAGTGGCCATTCTCACAGGTCTGGAAACTCTGCGTCGTGCTCAGCTTCACGCTGGGCTTCCTGCAGGGTAGCAGGCGAGTGGTCTCACAGGGCTCAGGGCACAGCAGGACGCATGGCTGGACATAGGGCTGGCAAGACAGCAGCTGGCTCTGGGTCACGGTCGGCTGTGAGCAGACGTAAGTGAAAGGTTGCACATAGCTTTGCCATCTGGGCATTGGGCTCTTGATCACGCTCAGTGGGTGGCACGTGGTGCTGCACGCATCAGGCTGGGGCATGCACTGCTGGAGGCTTTCAGTGATGTAGCTCGATCCCGGCAGGTATAGGTGTTTATACCGCTCCCCATAATAGTGCATGGTCTTGCGAGGTGCTTATGCCTGAAAGAAGCAGGAAAAAGAGGGACAGTTCACACAGGCACTGTCTGGTTCTTTGTGATGCAGGGCTCTGAGTTTCCCACAGGTGTCCCCATGCAGTGAGAGGCTTGGGGTGACTTGGGACAAGGTTGGGATTTCTTCTGAGGAGAGGAGAGGAGGAGGAGAGGAGAGGAGAGGAGGAGAGGAGAGGAGAGGAGAGGAGGGAGAGGAGAGGAGAGGAGAGGATGGAGGCGAGAGTAGAGAGGAGAGGAGAGGAGAGGAGGAGAGGAGAGGAGAGGAGAGGAGAGGAGAGAGAGGAGAGGAGAGGAGAGGAGAGGAGAGGAGAGGAGAGGAGGAGAGGAGAGGAGAGGAGAGACAGTTTTCCACTTCTGCCCCCATACTCTTCTCATATGAGACCAGAAACAACCTGGGATCACAGTCAGGCAAACCGGAGAGTTTTCATGCTGCCCTTCAAAGGTCAGCTAAGTATCCCTCAGAGCACCTCACCAAGGAGAACTGACGTTATGACCCTCCGTTTGGCTGGAAGCCTCCTCCATCCCCACCAGGACGTCCTTTCAAGTTTACATTCTGCAACTCCCAAGCACTGGAGATGAAAGGCAAGCCAAAATTAAAGGTGTGTCCACGCTGTAATACTCAGGCGTGGCTGCAGTTCACGGGGGCAAACCCAAGCTGAGGTTAAATGAGCTAGCTGACGGTAAGAACAGGTTCGTGGCAGCACGTACGACCTGCCTGTCTGCTGAAGCATGGTCCTACAGGGGTCCGCTGGGTGGGCAGCATGCGGTTACGGGACTCTGAGCTCCCTACTGTAGCATCAGCATCACTGCCTCTGCAGTCCCCGCTTTATACTGTCCCGTGGGCAAGCTTTAAGAAAAGAAAGAAGAGAAACACAGCAGGGTTTTTTCTTAGTGTTTGCTGAAACCCCAGCGGAAAGGAAGGAGAAGGCATTAAGGCAAAATCTCAAACAAGTTTCATTCCAGTCCTGCACTGCATTCATCCCAAGCCATAATGTCTTGTTTTTGCTAAGGTAGCTTGAAACACATCAAAATGCCTGCCACAGCAGCTCGGATGATGAAACCTCATCCCAGCAGCTCCTCATGAGCAGCATGAAGGAGAGGCCAGCTGAGATCATGTCCCAGGGACAGGATGGGGCAGCATTGTCGGCACATCCACATCCCTCCTGAACCTGCTGTGGATGTTGTGCTTTGCCCTGGTCCTGAGAGGCATGAGGGAAATCACCCTCTTCGTGCTCTCCATCAGAAATCACTGCCTTCAGTTTTTTGGCTGAACCGCTGGACATACAGAAGGTGCTCTGATTGATTATTTTTTTTCTGACATTGTTTGGGAATTAAATGATTGTAAAGAAACTGCATTTTCTGAACGCCCCTAGTTCTGTATATAATTACAGTAATCTGCTTTATCTTCCAAAAAGCCTATCACTGGGTGTCTATTAACAATAACAATGCTGTGTGTTACTATCATTATCACTACAATTATAATAATCACTGACTAATAAAAACAACCATTTGAAAAACAACAATAGCAATGCTACTACTACACGTACAATGCTAAAGTATCTGGTGATGCTCATCAAGATAAAAATCTTCTAAAATAGGGGGATTATTTGCTTCCAGGGAGTTGTTTGCATCTCTTACTTATTTTATCCATTAACCTACATAGAAAGTTAAACATGTTCAGGTTTAGCCGGAGAGTCTCTCTGCTAGCTTTTACATTGGCACTGAAGTTGATTGGCTTCTTCCTATTACTTGAGAAGCTGCTTTATTCAAATACCATAAAATGGCAGAAAAAATCTGCCAGTTTCTTTAGAGGAGTCACTTTTCTGCGTACAGGCTCGAATCTGACTCCTGGCAGCGTCGAGCCCTTTATGTAGTCAATGTCTTCCTTCAGACTAGATCTAACAGAAAGCGTAGAAAAGCCCAAAATCCCACTCCCAGCTTCACGGTCCATCTGGAAGTGCTTTCCTGATATTCTTCCATTCAGCACGGAGGAGCTGCTCCAGCTGTCAGAGCCACGCACGCCAGGGCTGAGGGCAGCATCCCCCAGAGACTGCATCTCCACAAGTAGACGAGCAGGACCTCTGCCTGCTCCAGCCACCCAGGTACAAAACAGCATTTCAGGAGCTCCATTAAAAGCCAGACTTACCCACTTCATCAGTGAGAACAACCGGAGAGAAGTGCCTAGGAGAGCCCCGCGATGGCAGAGCTTTTATACAGTGAATAAGTGCCCTAGGGGAGTGAGGCGGTTTGGCTGGGCGATGCTCTAATTGCCTGCCAGTCCCGGCTGAGCCACGTGCAGCTTCGCGCCGGCGGGGATGGCCGTCCTCGCTCTGCGGGGCTGCCGTCGCCGGCCAGCACCTCCAGGATGTCTGGTGTAGCCCCAAGCTCCACACAGGAACCTCCTGCTCCTCTCCGTAAGCAAAGCCTTGCTGGCCAAGCACATCCCCTGCAAGGGCTGCTTGTGGCTCTCACACTGAGCATCCCATGCACAGTGCCACAGCATCTCTGCTTCCCCCTTGCAGATTCAGGGCAGCAATAATGCTCCTTTCTGCACCAAAAAAGATGCCGGCTGAGACAAAGGACTGGGTTTGGGCCGCCCAAGGGACTCCTCATTTCCATGGGAGCTGTACGCATAGGCCCTTCGGTGCCTTTGAAAACACCGTCCAGGAAGGACTCTTGGCGACTTCTTGCAGACCATAATTACTGTGGCACGCAGACTTCCTTCACTTACACAGGGAACCGAGGGAAGAGGTGGGTGACTGGGACTGAGAAAGCCTTGGGCTAAGGGCAAGTCGGCTGCTAAAATGACCTGCCATGAAGCGAACAACCTGCCCAAAGAGGTGACGCTTTTCCGGCACAACAAAGGGGAGAAGCGCTTGAGCACAGGGGCAGCCCAGGGAAAGGCGGCTGAATCACAGGGAGCTCCGGCCCTGAAAACACAGCTCCCATTTCCTGCTCTGCTGCACAGTCTTTTTGTTCCCTGCTGATGCCAGGTGTAAACCTGAGGGGAGATGAACAGTGGCATGAGTATATGTGCCGATAGGGAAGGGGGTTTTGTGTAGTTATATCTGCATAAGTAAAGGCCATGGTGTTTTTTCCCCTTTAATGCAAATTTGAAATCAATCAGTTGGGTTACAGCATGCTGGGAATTTAGGTGAGGTCCTACATGTTGAAACAAAAAGGGGTGAAATAAATACTCTGAGTGGAGTAAGTGGAAAATTTCTCACTGATAAGAAGCAGAATACTGATCTCCAGCTTATGACCCATGGACTTAATTTTCTATTTCTGTTTTTTCCAGAAAATAAAATCCCAGCAGGCTATTTTGTTTTTTTTCCTTTTTGATCTTCTACCAAAAATTCACCCCAATGTCACAGACAAAAATGTAAACAGAGTGCACGTTTTCCCAGTTGATGCCAATATTTTGAGAGCAACAATAGCTAAAGGGAAGAGTGCTTTCTCTAGGCTTATCTTATTTTCCACATCTGAAGACAAAAGCACTAAATCCTACCTGTGTTTCTCTTAGCTGTGTTTCATTCCCCTAAACTACAACACCCTTTTTAATGTTAAATGGCCTGACCCAAGATTTTAGGAATCAAGTTGGCGTCAGAGAAGAGGTAAGCAGATTACCACCATTTTTACAAGCTCCATAAATCCAGTTCATGGGCAAGACCCAGATCCGGTAGCCTTCAAGTAATCCTAATATTCATTTTAGTGTTTCCAGTGCAGGTAACAAAATACTAACCCAATGATAACATCATGCCCTGTCATACAAATGTTCTTAATTAACATCTGCAAAGTCCCCTGAAATCCTTTCATCTTGGAGAGACGCACAGTGCTGCATGGGACATTGTTGCAGGGGCTATTATTATTCCCAATTAAACACAGGGGAAACTGAAGCACATTGCACCACAGTCACTTGGTGTGAGTCAGAGCCAGGGCCAGCACCAGGCTCAGTCCCAGCTGCCTCCAAAAGGAACCCCATGCTCCTTTTGGCCACCCAGCCCCTGTGAGATGAGGCTCTACACCACCCAGGAGGATTTTGGTAACACTGCTCTTGGCTCAGCCTGCTGTGGGAAAGCCGCAACGGTGTGAAACCTCCTCAGAAGCCCACAGTGATGCTCTCTTCTTATAAAGGGGACACAAAAGTTTGGGTTGCGAGACCCTCCCTGGTTCTTAAACGAGGAAGGAGGGCCACAGTTGCTGTAACTCTTACCTGCTGTTCTCCAGAGCAACGTCCATGGGCTCGCCAAGGAGATGCGAGAAGGGGCTGCCCCCGTTGCACCCACTCCCATCTCAGGCATCTCCTTGGTTTTCGTGGGCAGCCTGCAGTGGCACCCCAAGGTCACTGAGCAAGGGTGGAGCAGGGCAGGATGCGGGACAGCGTCCCGGCCCCAGTCACACCCTCCTCATCCTCTTGCACCACTTGTTTTTGCCCTCCAAATAGGTATGATCTACTTAGCGTGAGCAGGCTCCTATTCATTTTCCTAATGATAGGGCATATTGCAAGATTTTTGTATTTTTTTCAGACAGGAGTTCGCTGTATTTTTAACGAACCACCAGAGGGCAAAAAGACAAGGTATTTAATGTGAGGTCAGAGAACTATATTTATTTAAGTATATATATGTATAGCGTAAGTATACATATATATATATGGTTTGTTTTCAATACAGTGTAGAGTACACATCTTCAGGCAGCATAAAGAATATAGTTAATCACTTCAACATCTCAACATTTATAAAAGAGTAGCACTACAACTTTCAGTGTCATTTCAAAGACTTTCTTTTGTTTCAGGCTGTGTTTTCCATATTAATCAAAGCAACCAAGTGAATAAAAACTTTCATGGATAAAATTTCAGCAGGACCAACTTCACCGAGCCAGAAACCCTGCCTGGTTTAGGGACTCCACTGAAGTCAGCGCAGAGTCAGCAGGGATTTCTGGCCACCTTCCGAAACGAAGGCTGTTGGAACAAGACTTGTATACTGTTTGCTTAGCAAATTTACATTTGGCTTCCAAATCTGTGAGTGAAAACAGCTC